CATTTTAGAAAAAATTCAAAATGGCTCAGTTGGAGCAGGCATCCCATCTACTTCCCCCTGTCATTATTGCCTCGTTGTTCTAGTTGACTCCTGATCATGACGCTTGTTGGGTGCACGTCGTCCCCCAGTCTTTTTACCCAAATTTCCTGTTGCTCTTAAACTGTAGTATGACACTTATTCTGGCAGTGTTGATGCAAATGATGTCTGTTAACAGCCCACTTTTGATCAAACTGTTCAGTGATTCCTGTAATATATCAAAAAAGTGTATTTGTCAATGAGGCAGTGATTTCAGACACTCCTTACATGTTAGATTTATAACCTGGTGTCTCTCTCATCTGACTCCTTGAAATGAAGCCTCTTATAGAGCATATTTTGTCTGTGATATTATTATACTTATAATTATTTATTCAGACTGTTAAGTATCCATTACACCACATATGATGTACGTTTATGAAGTTTGGTTATCATATGGTAGCATTAGCCTGTCCTTCACTCTCTGTCACTCCACTGGTTGTGATTTATCTCCCGTAAAATAAGGTTATCAGAGAGTAAAGAGCTTTCTGGTGACAGATCTGGGCTATGTCAGCTCCTACATGAGGTGACAGGCCTTGAAATGCTCAGAGAGAAGTTGTACAGTATCCCACAGGCGAGGTCCCAGGGTCAGCACCCGGCCTTACAGGATTAACACACCTGCCACCAGCACAATGAGTTCTAATGAGCACACACTGGCCGCCCCAGTCTGTTAGCAGCAGGCCAAGTGCTTTCTGAGCGGCTCACACCTCAGCATCAGTATTGAAGTCCTGGCTCTCGAGTCAATACCTTCATTAGTGACTTCATGGCCGATCACTCTCTGAGGCTGAACAAAAGGCTCCCAGAAACACAAAGTGACACATTCCAGGGATTAGCAAACTCTGGCAGGTTGTGCCATTAAGAGAGGTTCAGTTTTATTCTTGAAAGGAATTTGCTTTGACAACAGGAAATAATGTAGGCAGTCTAATTAATTTGACATGGTGATTTTCTTTCCACTCAATAGTTTGATTTAGCTTGAAGTAGGGTTGACATATTTCACAATATCTGACTCGTTTTGTGTGCATACAACATTTTTGGCAATCCAAAGACTGACAGTTCACGTGAAAAATTGATGAAGAGAAATGCCTTGCTTGCTTGCATGAACTGTTGAGTTTTCTTAGGAACACATTGATTTATTAACAGGATTTGTTCCCCCTTGTCTTTATCTGGAATGTAACTTTTCTAAATACATTGACACATTTACACTCACACTTGTCTTCATCATCTTGGTGTATGAGTTATCAAAGTATTGGTGTAGTTGATGTTATATTGATTTTTAAGTTGAAAGTTATCACTCTCTTCTCAAGATATCAAAACAATCTGTGCAGGGACTAGCATTTACATGCTCAATATAAACATTGTCTTGTACTATGTAATGAAATTAGAAAGCAGACAAAGTGGCAGGACACTGGAGATGAATGAGAGATTGAATTAACTTTACGGTTTTTGACACACCTCCACATCACGCGTTTAGTTTATGTTGCTTGATCTTGATCAGAACATCTAATGACTGCGAGCCGGCCGCAACTAGCGTTTCTGTCCGAGGAGTGTTGTCCTGTTCCTCTGAGCGAGCTGGTTGTGGTAATGTTACCTGACAGTGGGTCATCCAAACACGGTCATTGAATGCACCACGTATAGGGAAGGCACTAGGTATGGGCTTATTGGCCCTAATATCAGGGGTCTTGTTGTGATCGATTTGTCTGAAATAAAATGTGTTTAACATCAATTTAGCTGACTACAATTAGTGGCTTTTTCCAATAACACTGTCATGAGTATACAGTGATGACAAATGCTCCTTTGGGCACTAGTCACAGCCTGCTCCTTTCAATCATTTTGACCTTGAGACAAGCAAGTCATCAGTTGCTCTAGTCATGTCGTTCCAGCACATAGCCTATGTCAAAGCCCCAGACAGACAGAAAGACACGTGCTGCAAGGGAGCAAATCCACTTAAATTTGCTATTAATTTTTAGAGCTTGGAGAGGGGACAATACAAATTTACCTGATTGCTGCACCACAATTCACTTTCACTTAAAACTCACTCTGATTTGAGGAGGAGGCGGAGCCTTCTGGTCAGTGTGCGCGTGAGACCGTTGCCTGGCTCTTAGTGTGACAGAGCTTAAAGTGACCAGGGGATTTGCGGAAGTGGAAAGTGCAAAAAACTGCAGTTCTTTGGATGTCTGCTAGAAGCTGACTCCAAGAGCCCCCACACACACTCAACATTCAAAAATACCAGTTTTTACAGCAGAAAATAACATGTTTACAGCCTGGTACAGAAAACAGTATTGGTCTGATTAGTTATTGTCCTCATGGGCACACACTGTAGCGATATGTATTTTATAACGCATCTGTTTTCATTTTTATAAAAATACGAGTTATGACTAGTTAGACGCAGGGCTGACCTGACCAGGAGCAGTGTATCTGAGGGTCAAGAGGCTTTGAACCCACCTCAGCTCCACCTCTCAGCCTGTCGTATTGATAATGGTTTACCAGCCACCCCTAATCACTGGCATACTTCCTTTTACACTAACCTGTCCACGTTACTGAGGAAGAAGTCTAATGCTCTTTCCAAAGTGCTGAAGATGATTTAGCCTTTTACGCTGTGCCAATACCCAAAATCTAATAATTATAAATATGAAAAAAGGGGAAAGAATTAGTGGCCCTTAGGCAAAATCTATCCATAGGACTACCAAGAAAGCTCAAGTTTTCCCTTTATAGTTTTGGCCAAACTGATAAAGTTTTGTTTGGTACAATCTTAAGGTAACACTCTAAAAGACTTGAGTGAATACCTCTAAAGAATGATTTTGTAATAACAACCCTTATCAATGATTTGTGTCTCAAACATAAGTCGATTTTGAATTAGCATGGCAATAACAAGAGCATTGTTTTAAAAGTAACTGTCATTTTAGATAATGTATTTGTTACCAGTTATAAGTCTCAAAGACACAAACCAAGCCTATATTTGCATGCATTAGTCATTTTTATCAAATTAGTTTTATAGAAACATCAGCCTTTGTACATCTGTTAGCACTCACCAGCCAATGGTAAAAAAATCATTTTTGTCCTCTACCTGCTCTTGGTCTCTTGTTTGCAGAGGAATAACCAATTTGATCATTGCCAATATTGGGCTGAATTATCACAATTTAAGTAAACACACCACCTGCTGACATGTGAGAGCCTCCTCTGAGAGAGTCATTTCCTCATTCAGAAAGAGCTGATGCATGGAAATAGTCTCACAGCTCTTTATGAAGTTAATTGAAGCGGCATGATGATTAAGTGGCAGTGCAGAGACCTCTGATCCCCCAGTGCTCATGCACAACATAATAAACTTTGCCAACCAAGAGCCAGAGTTTGGGAGTCCTGCTGCTTAAAGTGTGCTTCCTTTATCAGGTCGTGCTCCCCTACTGATCACCTTCATGACCCCCGGCAGAGTGAGTCAGATGGCAGCGATGCTTCAGAAACTTTAACCTCCAAAAACATGACCTGTGAACCCTGCCGTGACCCTAGAACAAAGACTGTGACATATTCTTTGTTGTGTTCTGGCAGGTTTTTTTTTTTTTTGCATGCACAGGGAATTGAGTTGTGCATATTTCAGTAGCACAACAAAGTTGTAATGAGAGACAGAAGTTTAATGTAAGTCATGATAACAGAGACACAAAAGCTATCAGACTGGCTACAAGGAAACTGTGACTGCATACCAGAGTGAAATATGCTTTAACTATGACCGACATTCCTTAAAAATATGCTTTAACTATGACCGACATTCCCCCATACCCTTTGTCTCTCTAATAAAACCAGCTTAGCAAACAGCTGTGAAGAAGGACTCTTCAAATTCCTACATTTCCTCTCAAGTGGCTCAAGACTTCTGGGGACTCTCCAAATAATCCAATCTTGACATTAATGCAACCCCCATTCAGCGTTGTGGGAAACACTCCACAAAGACTGAGACTCCACCTCTGAAACAAAAGACGAGGAATGTGCTCATGTTTTCCTCTGAGAATAATGTTCGTGGTTTTACATTTGCACTTTTTGAATGTGAGATAAAGGATCTATCTATCAGGTCAGGCTAATTTATGTTCCTCCATGGAACAAAGTGGCACATGAAAAGAGACATATGAGAGAGGGTGTTCAAGGGCAGGAAGGCTGCTGTTCACAGGGCATGTAATGCAGTACTTCCCCTTGTTCGATAGATTCAAAGAACAAGGAAACTTAAGGAGGCCTCTAGGTGTGTGCGTATTCCTATTATCGGGAGGACCAGTTAAAATTCCAAGTTTGACGTTGGTCATATTTCAATAAATGTACTGTATTTGCATTTGCAGTATTGCATCAAAAAAGCTGTTGAGCATTTTAGTCTTTTGGCATATCAGCTGTTTTTTCAACCAGAAGATGTTCAGAGCACCATGATTTATTGAATCATTTTTCTTTGTAACTAGCCTGTGTATTGACTCAAACTAATTGATGGAAACATGCTTATTATCTTGCAACCAGTTAGTTTAGAAGTAAAGACGACTTTCAGAGTAGAAGTGAAACGTCTTTTAGATCTTCAACCTAGTCCAGTTGCCTGTTTGGATCAAGCTTCAATTTCCCATGACCTGGATCACTGTGAACCTTTTTAAAGTTGTCTTAACATTTTCTTGACAATTTGATTCTGTTCAGCAACATGGAATCAGGGTGGAAACTCAAATGTTTGTTCACAGCTTTATGTGTCATTGTTTAAACTTTGAAAATGTGCTAAAGATTTTATTTGAATATTTAAAAAGGACTTCAGAAAACTTTACTGCACAGCAGGGAACCACCAATCAATCAATAATTCCTTGCTAAGGAGTAGCAAAGAGAAAATGTTTCCTTCAAGGTTTGCTCAACTTAGATCAACAATAATTCAAACACACTACACACACTTGGGAAAACAGAGTTTATTGCAATTAAGGTGGACTTCATTAAGAAGATAAAGAACATATAGGAGAACTTTTTCTTACTGACCTGACGTAAACAATAACCTGACATGAGAATTGTCTTTACAAATGTTATTCCCTACACTTTTGCTTTAATGGGACTTTATTTTCATTTTAAGCAGCTGGCTGATGAAGCTTGGTGCTTAATGTTAAATATCCTGACCAGGTTCAGATCTTGGATGTTTTTCAGTTGACAATGTTTACCAAAGATCATTCTGCATTAAGAATTAAAAAAATAAAGAATAAAGAACTCACGCTCTAGCAGACAGTCTGATAACCGTGGCGATCATCTAGAGTTTGTTTCTGTCTAGGATAGCAGAGCCTCACTCTGTGTCTCTGTTTTGACTTCCCACATTATTATGTCTATAGATGTTTTCTTAATCACTCAGTGTCTGAGTTACTCTGGATGGTGTTGTTCATAATCTACAGAATAATCCTTCACATTTTACACCTCTATGTTTTGGCTGCTGTAGCTGAGGTGTGTGTAAGTGTAGCAGAAGTTGAAGAAGATCAGCCACAACCCACAAACTTGTTAAGAGTCAAACAGCAACAATTTACAGTTTGTGGGTCATTGTAAAGAGTGAAGAGGTAACAAATGAACTCAATATTCAGAACCAGTTTGATGTATATTTTAAAATAGCAACTTTCTTGGAAGAGATTAATACTTTATCCCCAGAAAAAAAGAGCTCTAAACCCAGATTAAGAACGATGTAAAAAGTTCCATGTGGGGATTATCACTGACAAAGGATCCGTTTAAATTCACTATTACTCTTAATATAAGAGTGAATGCCATATATTTCAGAGCATTGTGATCCCCGAGACTGAAGTTAATAAACCAGTAAGAAAATAATGAAATGGATGTAAAACTCTAAACCAGAGACTCCCACACAGGCTGGCTGTCAGAGTCCTGACTGTGCAGAGAACTTAAACCAGTGTCTGAGTCGTCATCGTTCACACTGTGAGCTTTTGACAAACCCCTGGCCTGCTCCACCCACTCACTCTTCCTCTCCAAAGTGCTCATCATCTCCGTCTCATCAGCCCCGTGCTGATATCTCTCCTCTCTGTCTGTTCCCTCCTCTATGTCCAAAGTGTTCACTTTATCCAGCAAATCCCTCATTTCCTCCTCCCTCGCCGCGCAAATCTCATCGGTCAGCTCTAAATTGCTCCAAATAGCTTCCAAATCCGTGTTGAGGCGCAGGCCGATGTATAAACTTACATCTAGCTGCGTCCTGATCCTCTCTCCTCTCAATAGCAGCTCGTTTTCTGCGTTTTCTCCACTCAGAAGCAGCTCGTTTTCTGTGTCCGCCTCTGTGCAGTAGAGGGACGCTGTGTCATCTCCGAGCTCTGCGTCTCCGCTCAGCATCTCCTCCGTCCTTCGCTGCATCCAACGCTGATTCAGCTCCTCCTGCATATTCTGTGTGATTATGTCTATAAGAGCCTCCTGCTCCCACAGCTCCTCTTGCAGTCTGACCACCTCCTCACACTGCCGGACATACTCCTCAAACTTCACAAGAGTCTCGGCTGAGCACAGTTTGTGTCCCTCCAGCTCACAAGAGGCAGCATCCTCCAAATAGGTGTCCTGCACATAATTGACCCCATGTCTCTTCATTCTGTCAAAATGCACTTTCGCCTCGCGCCTCTCGATCTCTGAATCCAGCTCTGTAATTCTCTGAATCTGCTGGCGAATTGTATGATCCTGAGAAATCACCAGATGAACCAAAGTTTCCATCTGTTCAGCGGAGGACACATCCTTGTGCGCCGCCCTTGCCCTTTTTTTATTGATCTTTTCCAACTTTCTGAAAGCTTTCCTCACAACCCGACGCTGTTTCTCGGGTGAAATGCCACCCATGGGAGAACGTGTGGTCCCCTTTGTAACACAGGGGCCGTGTTTGCTGGGCACCACGCGCGCCTCCGCGCTCCGGGCTCCGTGGTTTGCCAGAGACACTTCGCTTTTCACCAACACAAACTTCACGTTCCTCTGCTCCTCACCCCACGCGACCCAGAGCCGAAAGATCTTGGTTTTATTTGGCAAAATCCTCTCAAAGCCTCTCCACTTCTCCACGATGCAGTAAGGACGTGAGCAGCCGGGGAGCGATGTGGAGAGGCCACGCTGAGAGTCCTGGTCCTCAAGAAGCACTTTGACAACATCCGCGCAGGTTGTGCGCTTCGACAATCCGAAGACGAGCTTTTCCTCCCGACAAACCCACACTGAAATCTTACTCTCCTCCGACTCCATCGTGAATGTCTGCTCGACTTTACTTCAACATTAGAAAAAGTCGTTAAATCTGCATGTCTGAAGAAAGGCGCGGTTATGTCATAACTCAAGTCTTCTTCTGCGCCGGAGACCAATGTGAGAAGTTAGAGGGGGGCTTTGGCGATCCATGTGTCCCTCTGTGCACTTTTATGAAGCCAAATCCAGGAAACTCTTCTGGTGTGTTGATGCTGCGCCCTCATGTGACAAGCACTGGCATGCATCATTATGAAGACTTTATGTGAGAAGTGATTTTGAGTTGAGATGATGGATTCAGCACTAAGTTCATCACCAGCTGTTGTTTCCCGAGGCATTTTTTTTAAGTTGTGATAGTTGTTATTCATTTAGAAAGAGTTGTGTCTTTTCACTGCCAAACTGTCAAAACTTCAGTGTTTGAATATATTGTAATCAAAATACATTTTATACATTTACTGAAATTAACCTGAGTGCTTAAAACATAATCACAAATAAAAAATAAACAATGGCTGACATTAATTAAGCCAATTAAACCATGCAATATGTATAATAAGCATGTTTACTGGTTCATCAAACGTTTGCATTTCAAACATTAGCTTCATCACACTTTCTCATCTGCCTGCCCACATGTGATTCTTTTAGGATGGACCCAGTGAGCCGTGGGTCCTGACCCAGTGACCAGACGCTTGCAGGCCCTGGATAAACTAAAGAAAATGAATGGATGGACTCTTTAAGCTTAAGTCTGTCATGATTAAAATAAAGCTTAGTGGAAGTTCAATCAAGACAACTGACCATCGTTATGCTCCTTCAGTATTTACAGTCTGACAGTGGGTGTTTAACTCTTTTTTTTTTGTCAACATCTCATTGCTGTTAGAAGACCTTCCTCTCTGCTGCTGCCATTGTCATTCAAGCAAAATCCCTCCAATCCTCTTCCACAAGGTTTACCACCATTCAGAATCACACGGATACTCATCAGAGGTCCTGCCCCCACATCATATCCATCCAGATGTTTAACATTACTCTTCTTCTTTAACACCACCTCTAAAAGTGTCTAGACACAAATCATTTTTACACTCAATGACATCACTCACCAGTTTAAAATAACAAAGGGCACCAAAGACTTCAGATGTCTATGGTGCCCAGCAAGCTTAGGTAAGAAAAACCTTGAAAGGGCGTTTGTAAATCCATGCCCAGTTTACAGTTTTTCTTATCTGGATCTTCAGGTCCTCAGTATATGTGTCATTCTTGTTTAATACATTTTCTTCATCACTCTTCTTTCCCAAACACCAACCTCTGTATGCATTACAGTTTTTCACTATTGAAAAAAAAAAAAGTTTCTGAAACTAGGACTTTTTTTGTCCACATACACAAATCTTCCAAATCAAGTAAACTCTTTAGCAAAATTAAGCTTCAAATCTTGCACACAGACACTTAATGAATGCATCTTTCCACAGCAAACTGGACACAGCGTTGTTAAATTTACAACACTTAAAGGAGCTATATGTAACTTTCAAAAATACTGCGTTTGTAGTGACACCGCATGGTCATTAGGCAAACTGCACCAGTGACCTGTTGCTAGCTCTCACTGGCGTGCTCGTTCATCATCGGCCGCGAAACACTGGATATTTACTGGCATAATGTTTACAGAGGAGGTAAGCGGTCATACACATGTCAAAGTCTGTTGTTTGTTTGTTGTTTATTTATACTTACAGATTCCATATCAAACTCATTCTCCATCCTACAAACGACAGTCTCGGCAGGCACTACTGTTGATCTCTGTAAGCGAAGCGGAGTGAGGAGGACGCCGAGAACGCGCATATAACACCTGGAGCTTTGGCTGAAAATTCAACCTGAGTAAAAAGTTTATACAGATAGACAGTGAACATCAAATCAGTTAACCGTTCGCTTATTAATGGGCGATAAAAAAAACGATTTATATATGATATATACATTTATACATTTATACACAACAAGTAACATATAGGACCTTTATCTTCTATTTTTGAATGAAATACTCTTAAGTATAAAAACACATTGGCTTTTTTATTTGTAGCATACTGTAATAATGAACACAAACACGTAGGGAAAAAATGTCTTTAAGTAATGAAGATGACATGAACATAAAATATATTACAATTCTAAAATTCAAAATTATAGTTCTTGAAACTTAAGAGGTAAGAATACAATAAGTGTAAACTTCATCCTACTCCTTTTTTAACATGTATTGTTTGCTTTGTGTTGAATATGCTTGCTGAAATTGTTGTTTAGGTTCACCTCATTATCATTTATTACTTTTTTTCCAACTGTTCCTTTTTAAACATGATCGAAATAAAGATGTTAATCACTCAGTCATTTTAGTGTGTAAAATAGGAAGCCCGTAGAGCCAGTGCTAAAAACTGCATTTCCTCCAGTGTCCACTTGAGGCTGGCTGCAAAAGCCCCAGTAGTCACATACACAGCCATGTTGAAATGCCTATTGTTACAACAGAAATAAACAGGTTTCCAGCCTGGTGGTATTTGCATATACGTATGCTTGATTGATGTGACTGCAAGTAGGCATGTTGTAGCTGCTATAGGTTGAGAGTCGAGCCATCACTTGGCTTAAAAACGACTGGCCTTTCTCAAACTGTTCTCTCCACTCTCCGGCACAGAGTTAACTCTGTCTTATGTCACGCCACTAGCTGACCTACACACTCCAGATTGAACTTCTTGAACCCCTTCACGAGCTTCTGTTTAAGGTGCTTTTTAAATGGCCACATGGTGGGGCTATGCAAAAAAAATAAAAACATTGTTTAAGTGAATGGACATATTCAGATATCCTGCAGAAAGACGTACAGTCTTAAATCCTCTCACATACCTTCTTTTTAGCAGCAGTTTTGTAAGAGAACTACTCTGACAAACACAATCTTCTGCCCAACAGTTCCCTTTGTGAACTAAATTTAAGAAAGAGCTTTTACTGACTGTCAAAGATTACTGAAACCTCGGGTCTTTCAGTTGTAGCCTTTTTTCTGCTCTCAGTAAAATATTTTTATTAGACAAAGTTGTACCTGTCTGCACTTTCATTACATAACTTGTATTATTTTGCTGGTACCTGTTGGTTTATCTCAAGTTTTTGCATCTAAATTTATAATATCTCCCTCTGGTGGTATATTCTGTTACTGCAGTCATGTATAAAATATGTCCTCTTGCATGTGTATCAGGACCAATATTTACAGTCTATGATCAGGACCATAGATCAGGACAGTTAAACCTAAAATGGGAATTGGCTCCATCTAGTGTTGATCTGAGTTTCTTTTTTACAGATAAATGGTTAAATGGATGTTTTCTCCAGAGGTCCGCACGCGCACCCACACACTTTCTGAGTGAAAACACACTGTCCTGATTGCGTTAACACAATATTTTCTGAAATGTTTAATTGAAGCAATAACAAAAGGAGGCAATATTTTAAGATTTATTCAACTTCAATATTGCATACATACAAAGTGTCTAGAAAGCTACAAAATATCTACTATTATCAAGAAGGCATCATAATGTTACGGAGCAAAGACAAGACCATAAGCAGAACACAGACACATCGCAGAGCTTCTTTTCTCACCTTTTTCGCCAACATTTGACTTTGTCATGGATACGGAAAGATATCACACATCTGTACCAAGAAAAGCTAGGATATCGTTTTATACAAAGCACCTTTTTACAAAAACGAGTGTGCACACAAAACCGAAATGTGTGTTTGATGACTATATGTGAGCTCTGTGAAAAATCACTCTCAAGCTGCAGTCTGAAAAATGGTCAAAAAACATAAAAGGTACCAGTACCTATACTCTGCAGCAGAATTACAAATAACAAAGAGCTAAACTGCTGATATGGTTGTAGCATGATTCCTCAACGTGGCTGTTTTTATTTGTATTTTTTTAACATGGCCATCTTCTCTTCTAACAGTTCACCACATAATCATGCCGTTGGACGCATCAGTCCTGCTGTCTTAAGTGTTATTAAAACCATGTGTCCAAATGTACCAGCAGTGCAGCAGCAACATCTTTTCCATCTCAGTGGGCTTTTAACATACAATGTCATCACAAAACCAAGTACAACTGTATACAAGTACAATAAGAAAACAGGAATATTGGACTAAGTGATCAATAAATGTGAACAGATACACAGGGTAAACATAAGTAGAAGCCTATTCAAACTCCACAGTATCCACAGGATTGTGGCAGAATACTGAATGATCAAACTTTTTCTGCATCCACCAGAGACGTTGTCTGCAATTACTCAGAGCTTCTTCCATTAAAATACTTGACATGATTATACACTTTTGAAAGAAACTCTAAGGGTTTGAGTAGTTACGCTCTTTGCGGTGAAAATGTTAACCTCGATGGCCTCGTCCACACGATCAAATACCAAGAATTTCAGGTCAAACCGCATTAAAACGTTTAAGATAATTCAGTTCTCAGAATTTTGTTCTCTTCATTTTCTTTTGAAAGAGAAATGATAAAAACAACTTTTGCCATTCTCTCTTAAGTCAACATCACTGCTGCTTCTGCATCATCAAAAGTATCATAGTGATGTTCAGGTGAACTTTTACATTGTGTGGTTTGTGGGACAGAGAAACCATCATATTCCATAAATCAAATCAGACACTTGAACCTGCAAGTGTGCACAAAGCATAAGCTGCAGTGTTTTTTTTTTTAAATATGTTGACACTGCATGCAGTCAGTGGCTGTACTTTATCAGCAGGTCTTTCACTCTTTACCTCAAGCCAAGAAATTCCTCAAATATGTCTTTTGTGAACTAATTTCACAATAAAATGTAAATGAATATATTATTTTTAATTTGACCATTAAACAGCTATCTGTTATTACAATCCTTTAAAAAGGCAATGTGGTGATCGGTTTTATTTGTCTATTTTTTGGTCTAACAACATTTGATTTTTAATTGATTTTATTTGTTTTAAGCTTGAAATTTATAACCGAAGGCACTTCCTTGCTACCAAGCAGGACTTGAAAAAAGAGTGACTCTATCTCTGTATTTTTGGTATTTGACAGGAAAGGCAGTCAGTCTATGTTTATGTTTAAGAAAGAAAAAAAAACTGTTAACATTTGCAAACTCAATTGAACAAAGTGCACTGCCTCTGAGCAGAAACAAAAAACATATTTTTCTAGGAGTGTACCAATGATAAGAAACAAGATCTCACAAAATGAAGGATGTACCATACCTGTAGTTAGTTGTTTAATAATTTGTTACCTGTTTTTATCCACAACACTTGTTTAAAATAAAAAAAGAGATCATGTTCTCTTATATTTTAAGGCACTGTACATCTACACTTTGGCAGATGGTATTGTGAATTTCTTACACAACATATAGTCTTTCCCGTGTAGAGATCACAGTTTTGGTGGCATCTTTTGGAGTTCACACAGCTTTAACGTGTAGTAAGGCTGGGGATCAGTGTATAGGCCACAGAAACCTGTGAATAGTGTGAACATGAAGGCAGCAACACTCTGGTTTGGAGTTGTTACACAGCGATTCCAGAGGGGGGCAGTATTCTCTTTAAAGGGGGCAAAGCTGCAGCAAACTGAACAAGGCCTGCTTTTCTACAAGAGATTTATGGAGTTATGTTTATTCATACTGTTGACCAAAACCCCGGATCTAACAGGACGAACAAACTCAGAGCAGGAAGGGGGACAACCTGCTTCTGGACAAGTCTGGTTCCAATGATTTCAAGCTGTACTTTAACTTGTCTATTAGTTTCACAGAGCTGTTTGCAGCAAATAAACGCTAAGACTTTCTACATAATGGAGCAGAAGCAGACTCAATGATTGTTTCACAGTGCATTCATTTGATTGATGTCGAAGACCTGGAGTGCTTTAACAGGAATAAATATACCAATGAAAGCTAGAGGTTTGTTTTTTTAAGAAAAGCTTATTTATCAATACTCATGACCTTGCTTGCACCTACTACTGCTTATGTAGTGATGTGTTCGCTTTGTTTCTTTGGAAAATCTCTTGGCTGTGGTTACACGTCTGTGTATCCACAGTGTGTATGCTCAGATAATGATGAAGTACAGGCATAAGAAACACACTCAAACATATTACACACACCACACCAGGCTGCTGATAGAAAAAGGCCAGCATCCGCTTTTTTCTTACTCTACATAAAGAAGCAGAAGACAACAGACACATCACCATTTACCAAATGAGTCTAGTCAATTCTTTAAGCACAGCCACATTTATACCAAACAGAGACCAACTCAAACAAGAATTCCCATATTTAAACATAAAAACATCTGTACCGCAACTCACAGCTGCAGTCATATAACAAACACTTTATATTAAAACAATATTTGAAACAACTGATGTCACCCAATATCATGACCAAAAAGCATTGTGGGTGTGACTTTCAGGTAGAGGCACTGCCACTTCTTTTTTTTTTTTTTTTTTGAGGTTGATAAGTCTATTAAAAAGAGGGGAGGTTGAAGGCTTGGGTCGGGGTCTCATTCCTTTACCAGTCTGTAGATATGATGTTGGGCGCCGTGCTCGCTGTTTGAAACCTCAAAAACACACGCCATACATAGCAGCGTCTCCTGTGTGTCCCTGTTTGTCACCACCTGCAAGAGAACACACGGTCACTCTCCAGCAGAAGAATACTTTGTGTTACTGAAAATGAAGAGTCCCCGGGTTTTAGAAACATCAAATAGAAGCTAAGGATTACTAGAAGTTGGTGCTGATTCTTTATAATCTAGAAAACTGAGCGGTGTTTGTAAGTGTTTTTTTTAATTGTTCTAAATGTGACCTCATTTTCCCCTAAGAAGGATGTTACATTGAGTTGATGCACTGTTTTCTACTGAAGAAAACATTGAATAAACTTCAAAGTAACTTGGCTTGCTTAACATTACAAGGCCATGCTATCCATAAAAAAACACATTAGTGGTAAAGGATATCATTGAATTCTTTGAACACATGATACAGCTGAAGTTTAAAACGTACACTTAATTAGCTGCTGCTAAGGATATCCACTCTTCATTACGCATTACAGTGAAGCAGTGATAAAAGGATTGCCTATTATATTTCTGTATTAGAGCTCTCAGAGCACACAGCTCACACACCAAGAAAAACAAAGAGGGGACACAGAAAATTAAGATAAGTGGCATTTCACTCACAAATTAATATATTATTAGGCAGCAGGTGAACATCCTTTACTTACAAACTGACAAACAAGTGCTGTAATCATCGGATCTGTTAAATAACCTAAACAGAACTTCACTTAAACTATCTCCTCCTGCAGATCTCAGAGCTTCTTCAGACAGTCCTACAATATTTTCTTCATCTTTAATCACGATACTTCTGTGAAACAAAACATTAGCGTAAAAAGTATAGAAAACTGTTTCTATAACAAGTAAGTCTTAACATGCCTTTTTACGTCCTAAGTGGTGCTGAATAATACTTTAAGACCCCATGTGACGCTAATAACAGCGGCCCCTGCCCCCTCTTATCCTCCCTTTCCCCCTGCAGATAATGCAGGGGCTTCTCACACTGACTTTCATCCCCTGTGGAATGACAGCAATGTAGCAACAGCAAGAGGAGCTCATCTGAACGTTCAGTCCACCTCCCAAACCCTGTTTTTATAAAAGCCACAGACACAGCCTGACGTCAAAGAGAAGAAGAAGAAGAAGTAGAATGAGAGTCCTGAAGAGGGAGGTTGCCCACTCAGGTCACAGAGGTGATTACCAATAAGATAGTGAAGTTCTCCAGCACACTGTTCATCATGTATTTCTCTGGCAGATGTTTTAGCTTATGGATGAAGTTGATCATGTATTCACACATGGGAGACCGGCTTATCCGGTAGACAAAGCGTCCGTTCTCAAAGCGTGCATATTCAGTCTGAGGAAAAAAAGGAGGGATAAAAAAAAAAAACAGGAACTTGAAAAAACACATACATATAGTTACTGTCACCTTTTTAGATATTCTTCCACTTCACAGGAAAAGAGAGATCAGGTTCATACCTCAACTTTCTCCACCACCTGCTTGCCAAAGGAGCAGACCTTTGTTGAACACGTGATAGTCATGTTTTCCGAGCTCTCGTACTGACTGGTGACTCCATAGAAAGATCCAGAATCATCTTGAACGTTGCAGTTCAAGTCAGCCTGAGAGAAAAATGGGAAAATTTACAGGCAAGTAATATTTGAATTGAATGCTCGGTTTGCTGCAATAAAATAATCCAAATGGGTTTCACAGATTTTGGGTTGAACTATTTAAGGATTCAGAATTTCATATTGTGTCATTTCAAAAAGACTTTTTGAACAGTATCATTGATCCTATTGTGTCATTTGAGTGTCGGCGTTTTCAACCCCAGATGTTCTATGGGAGTTTAGATAAATGAGATAACATGATACAACAGTGCAGTGCTTTAAGACATTCCTGCAGCAGCTACCAGCTGAAAAGTGAAGCTAAGAGTGAATGGTTGTGAAACAAATCCTTAAACAATGACAAAAAGAAAAGAAAAGACTCTACAATAACTGATTCCACGTTTTGGGACACTTGGGGGCAGTAAAATGACTTAAGCATGAATATGTCATCACCAGTTACAGTGAGTTGATAGGACAACGTTTAAAACACATAGTTATACTCATTTTAACGTCCAGTGGTTCCAGGGGAGCAGTTTAAACCAGAACCTGGTTTTGTATATGACATTAATGGAACACAGATATTCACTCTCTTACAGCTCTGATGAGAATAATAACAGCTCTTTAGTCGCTTAATGTTTCCTATTTGAAACTGTAACATCGAGTCTTCCCCAACAGGTGAAATATTATCCAGAACATATCAAGCTGAAGACAGCAGTAGAATCCAGTGTAGTCAACTCCCACAATTTCACATTAGAATTAGATATGTGATACCTTTGAGATAATCTTATTTAATAAAGATGATATTTAGAACACAGATTATTTAAAAAAAAATCAATATTGTGATGTATTTTCTTAGTTGGTATAAAATAGCAATGAGGAGTTTACTGATTCCTTGATTATTTTCAGGACAAATGGCACCTTGAAACATTTAGTAGACATAAGTAAAAACTGAACACATTCTGAAAAGTTACACATAAGAACTTGTTTGCTGTAGGAAATTAGAATTTGATTACAAAGTCTGAAATGTTAAATTGAACTCAGCATTAAGAATATCTTTGTAACTGTCTGAGCGATGTCTGGATGGAACATATTCGTCGCATATCAAATTTGAAAATCTTGGCCACATCCGAATAAGCATGTTAATGTGTCCATAATGGAAACGAGATTCTAAAGAGGATTAAATGAAGTTGCGTCAAAAGACTGATTTACAAGGTTGAACAGGGTCTGCTCCTGGAGGGCAGCCTTTCTATGCCCCAAACATCCTGTTCATTATGGTTCTAAAAAGAGGAGACATCCTCCTACAGCATTCCCCTCCTTCATTAAGCAAAGCAGTTATACTTTCATTATTGTGCAGATTTTGCCTTTCATTTGAAATTTAGATTGGCCGGTCACTTCAAAAGGAATTTGAGGGGACTTGGTCCAAGTGCATACGGACCTACTTTGTTGCCTGCCGCTAGTTAGCATTTTGCATCAGGGATGAAATACATGCAATGTTTAAACAGCCATTAGGAGTGCAACCAGGTCACTCCATTGTTTGGAGATATTACATTGAATTAGTGAGTGCTTTGATCAAAAGCTCTCCAGCTATGCAAGTCCAAATACAGCCGAGTGCATTCTGCAAACATTAAGAGAGCAATCTTCTCTGTGTGGAATAATTACAGCCAATCATTAAAGAGCAACCTGAACAGACAGGAGTCTGCATCAATGTGCACAGGGCTACAATGATATTAAGACACGTCATCAAGCTGTCACTTCCTTACTATATTATATCACACTTCAGTTCTTAACGATGCAACTAAAAAAGTTCACTCACCCAGAATTTTATGAGGAAAAAGGAGTTCTGGGGACCTTTTCCATACAGCTCCTTCAGTCCTCCTTTCTTTTCTGGGAATTTGTCATAAATCTGACGAATGTCCACCGACTCCAGCAGGGCGTCACTGTAGGAATGATTTGTCTGACCGATGTGTACAAAGAGGTGCTTGTTGTACTGTAAGAGGAAATAAACAGAAATAGAAGCACATTTCAAAATACAGAGATGCATTTCATGTTTTACCTTTGACAAAATACCTTTCAAATAAAATAAAACTCGATCCTGTCTGAAAATATAATAACCTCACAAATAACAACGTAAAAATGATTCAGAGCAGCATTGAATATCATTATCTTGAAAGAGAGGTTCACTGAGACAAAATAAGCCAATTCTGAAAAGAAAAAAACCCACTACAATAGCATGTGGAAGCTGAAATTATACTGGTCACATTACACTCTGATGATGAGAAATAGCCCCATGCAACGCTGCTTTTTATTAGGCTGTCTGCGTGTTTGTAGGTATCTGATTTTATTTTATGACGGACAAATTAGATGACATCATTCTGCTTCACTAAAGCCAAAAACAATTTCGTCCTGATTTGGATTAAACCCCCAGAATTTTCCAAAAAGAGGTCTCCATAGAGGTTACTTCCACCAACAGGAATTACTCTTGATTTCCATTTTAAGGATGTCAATACCTAAAAAATCTTCACCTATCACACTACCCAAAACAAGATTGATTCATTTCAGAATAATCCCCTTTTTTTTTTGCCATTTACAGTGTTCATATTTGATCTAACCCCTCCAAGTGACTTCAACATATCCTCTCAAAATATGGTCAGGTTGTTGTCAACACTCATATGAATGTTATTAAAAGATTGAGCCGCCCCAAAGAACATGGCCATGGCTAGGTATCAAAGTTTGATGTTTACAATTTCAGGAGTTTTCAGAAATTTTCAATGGACATTTTGACAACATTTTCAAATTCAAGGGGATTTTATTTTAACTGAAAATGATGTTAACTTGAAAAATGTCAGTGCAAATATTTGAAATCTTTTGGGAATATTTAAAGTGACATAATGGCAAATGAAAAATGTCATAAACTTATACTGAATTCTAATGATAATTACAATGATAATCAATGATATTTTTTGGAACTTTCAGGAATTTACATCACAAACTTTTGGGAATTCTCAATGGAAAATGTATAATTCAGATGAAATTGTCAAGAGGTGACATTTCTTGAAAAATTATAAAATATTCTGAACAATTTTCTTCAATATTCTTTTAAACATTCATTAAAGTTCTCATATAACTTTCGACATTTTTTATCAAATATTTCTGACAATTTCAAAAGGAAAATACTTATTAAGAAAGTCTCAGAAAATATCCAGCGGAAATGTTTGAATCTCCAAAATTTCTAATAAAATATTCCTAGAAAGTTCTGTTGGGCCACGCAGGCTTAGGACAGTCAAACAATGGACTTGGGCCTGCACCTCTGTAAAAGCCTCATTTGAATTATTCACTGAGATCACAAAGAGGCCTAAAATGACTCTTAATCCCAGAATCCCCTGCGGTACTTCACACCTACGCGTGAAGTAAGGGGGGGACCGGAACCTCTCTCTCCTCATTGGAGGGGACCTGAGGTAGACCCCCCATGGAGCAGGCCAGGCTACAAAAACTCAAAGACTTCCATTGTTCTTTCTCTTTCCACGCGCTGACTTCTAGTGCTCGGAGACACAAGCTCACCTCCTGTTTCTGCAACAATCTTCCTTTGTTTTAAGTTTTTTTGGCGCGCAGGTAATCCGCGGCCGGCAGTGTTCTAAATTCCGAGCTCGGATTGTCCAGTGAACGCATCTCAGTTTCTCGGAGAGCGTCAGACTATAACAGATTATCAGAAAGATAATGGTCTTATTCCGTCCTGCAACGAAAGGACATCAAAGGACATCTTTCCACTCGACGGAGAACAAACGAAGCCGCTCTCGCCGTAAGGGACCCTCGCCGCCATCAGACGCCTCTGCACCAGGACGGACAGAAGATCTGCTCCATCGCTGGACTCTTTTCCTTTCACCAATCGTGGACAAAGCGATTCACAAGTGAGGCTTAATTAGGTCTGGGCAGAATTAGCTTTAGAGAGTGTTTTTAACAATTGTTGATCGAAGCAGAAACTGTAATTTTTATCTTTGTTGGACCGCTGCGTCCTGAGTTTTAAGTGTTTAAAACTCTTGTTGTTGTTTCGGACCGCTGCGTCCTATATGTGTTCAGCATAACAGCTTTATAACTGGGTATTACTCTTCTGATCAGAAAGGCCAGTGTAAGCTGTATTAACTTGAATTCGGCCATTGGTTTGTTTCTGTGAATGAAGGGAATTACTCCGAGTTGTGGCGCGGGAGTCGGACTGTGATCCGGCCTCTTCAGGCACGCATTTCTCTTTTATTCTCTTTTATCCTCTTTTATTTCCCCTTCTACAAACATACACACACACACATATTCCCGTGTAAACGTACATCTGTAGACCAACTCCACCACCGCGCCATTACGCACAGAGATCTATACACTCGCGGCTATCCAGACGCCTCAGAGACACAGATCGTGAAGGGCCGAACTTGGTCTCTTTTAGACCTTAAGGCCACATTAGGCCTTTGTTAGGTGTGCGCCATCGGAAGGGCGACCACGTGGGACGAAGTAATCTTCCCCCCCCCTTTTCTCTCCCTTTCATCCACACACGCACGCACGCACCCAGGTCTTTGTTAGGTTTGCGCCTCACACACACACACACACATTCACACCCCTTCCACAAGCCTTTGCTTGATAATGTTTGTTGCTTAGATTAGTTTATAATAGTTATTTGTTTAATTAAATTCATTGATTTGGGATTGATGTTGCTTTGCTTAAATAAATTCTGTTATAATTTAAGAGAGCAGTTGTTTGTGGTTACTGGTGTATTTGCATTGTGATATAAGCTGGGTGCGAAGGCTTTGTGTACGGATTTCACGCCTTCAATTTATTAAATATAGTTATTCATTATTAATAATATTAGTAATTAAATAACTAATTTGAGACTGATTTGAGTGATATTTTGGTTATATTTACCTGATTACAGGTTGGTGCCCCAAAACGAGATTTTATTTATATTATTAATAATTAAGTATAATTATTAAAGAATATAACCAAAGTTGACTTGATACAACCCCGACAGTTCCATTGAAAATCCCTCTAATTTTCCATTTCCAAAATTTCCTGAAATGACCCAAATTTTCAATTGAATTTGTTTTTTGAAAAGGCCTGAAAATTTCCTGAAAATTCCCAAATATGTTTTTCAATCTTTTTGGATTTCTTCTTTGAAATTCACGAAAAATAAACCCACCCCGAAATAAAAACATCAAAGTATCATCCTGTGGAATGAGGAAGGATGAACTATAACATAAAACTTTTCCATTCAAAAGTTTCCATTCACTCAAAATTTGATAAAGAAAAGCACTTTTGATAAATATATTGACGTGAACATGTCTGTGGTTAAAATGTGATCATAGTCAAAGCCCCCCTACTCTTAAAAGCCAGTCCTGCATTTCATGTTCAATCAGCTCAAACTTTCACAGATGCAGACAGTCTCAGTCTGAATGGATCTAATTTGGGTCATGGCCATGGCACCACCCACTGGTACACACAGTCACAGCTGCAGCACACCCTGTGGCTGTGACAAACCCCAACATGCAGAAAAGGTGCAAGGGCCTGTTGATTGCTGCTTTACTTGTTTAATTTTATAGCCAGAATGCTTTACAACTACTAATACTTTTGAAAATATATATATTTCAAGTATTCATTTTTGCAAAACGCTTGGTTAACACAATTTGTAGTTTTTAATAGCCGCTGAGCATTATTTTGTATTTCCTAACATAAAAGAACTACTGCTGCTTCAAAACAAGAACCCTCAGCCTGGACCTCCAAAAGATTATTGCTGTACTATTAGAAAAAAAAGACAGAAGTATGTTGTATTTCTTAAATTTTTTAACTGAGAAGGTTCGTTTTTTAAAAACTCAAATCCATGATGCATAGCAGAAAGCAAAAAGGAGAGCAGGAACATCAGAGAACATTTGATTTTCAGAGGTTTGGTCTCCTAGTCGTGCTGTTTGAAACTGTCTTGTGGTGCTGCACACTGTGAGTTTAAAAGCTCACAGAGCAGCCTCTCAAGCACATAGCCTTTAGGGCAAATGCAACAATTTTAACCATTAGGCTGAATGTAAGACTAATGGCTGTTGTCACAAAGTATTTTTACCAAAAGGAAATGTGGACAAACATTTCTAAAAAGCTAGAGCAAACAAGATATTTGGGATTTGATTATTTTTAAACTCACATTCAGTGAGTCTGTCTTAACTGCAAAAATCTCCTTTGGCTTGCATTTTAAGAAAGCGATTAATAAACACTCCATTATTCCTGCAGGTTTTCATGCTTTGTGTCCCTACAGGCCAGGCCTCTTCCTCTCAGCTTGTTTTGGCCTCCTCTCAACTGACTCTGTGCCTGGGAAAATGTCCTAGTGTATTCACACAGGAAAGGAACAGATAAGATGTAGGAATGAACAAATGAGATAATGATTTTTCATGCTATTGTATAAATCTTTACTCACTGAGTCTGGGTCTCTCTGCTGCTCTAAGAAAGCGGAGAACTCAACGAGCCGGAGTTTCGATGTACCGATGGAGCGTCCCTGCCATGCCGGTGCCGTTGGAGCTGCTGTGGGCTCGTAACCTGCAGTGACAGCACATAATCAAAGATCCATCCTATCTTTTACACTACACTACACCATGAATTTTAACATCTGGATACTGTGCTTTTAACTAGGTTCATTTGGGTAAAACTGATCTTCACATTCCAACATGAACACTACTCCCCTCTCTTGGATCTACTCTGCAAATAAGGATCTCTGAAGGAAATATAAGTGGGTACAAAGTATTACAACCTATTTATTTATTTGTTATTGCACTAACTCCAGGCACATTTTCATCTCTATAAACACTTTTGTTTCAGAATAAACCAATCTGCTTATTCCCACTGAATAAGATAAACACTCACTTGAAATGGCTGTTGTGACTGCTGGCTGGATTGGGTAGGCTTGCTGGGTGAAAGGCTTAATACTGGAACAGAGAATTACAAAGTGTTAGCACAAACATTATTATGAGTTCACTGCTTCAAAAGAGTTCCAATGGTGTTTTTCCAGCACCTAAAGTATTGTACTTACTCTTGTGAGGATCCAGGCTGACCGGCTGATAACATACCCTGCCATAACTGGAGAATTAGATGTTTAAATAAACAACAAAGAACAAACAACAAAATGCATCCAATTGTGAGCAGCTGTTGGCAACAAGATCAAACTGTCTCCTAGCTCCATGATCCATGCACATAGTTATCTTGACTACCACTCCTTTTGATCATGTGCTTATCTGATGGTGGCATTTGCGCGAAGCTGTGGTGTGTAATGTGATTTGGCCCGGGTGCCAGGGTGTTTGGCCCCATGGCTGCCCTGGGTGACGCTGGACAGGAGGGATCAATAGCGGGGTGCCGACGAGGATCTTACCCCTGCTCCAGGGAAGGCTGGGCGCGGGATGCCTGGCAGTCCCAGCTTGTTGTGAATAGCCGTGGCAGAGACAATCTGAGCCGAGGACATGGAGGCCATGCTCTGGAGGGCTTTGTCCTTCACTGCCTGGTCCTTTAACAGCAGTCACAAAAGGCTTAGCACTCACACAGAATGGGCGAGAGGGGAGGGGGGCTGTGTTGCAGATGTAGCAACAAGCACACTCCAAACAACACGCTGAAAGCACCACTGACATCTCACACAACAGTAAACAGAAAGCAGGTTAAAAGAAGATGCATTTCTACTTTGCTATTAAGTGTAGGCTTCTTTTTAAAGGAATGTACCAAACAATTACAACTGAATTCCAACACACATTGCTTAGCAGAGGTATGCACTTAGCAAAAACTAATTCAGCAGCACTTTTACCAAGGCTGCACTTGCCTGCATGTCAAAACATATCTATACAGACAATTTCTCCAGAAAATATGAAGGACACTAATCCCACTTGGGTAAGTGTTTAAAGTTTAGGATCCTTTTTTTTAATGTTTGTGCAATTATTTGGCAAAAAAGAGATGTTAATTATTGTATCAGAAAAGCGTAGCAGAAATGCATGCTGATGTGGACAGAACTGTTACTATGCATTCTTTCTCTGTAAGTACTGCGGCAGAGTTCACACTAGCAATCCCATGCACACTGACTGGTGGCAGACGTTAAATGTAAGCATGCTGGCAGCTGATGTTGGTGGAGCAGAGTTAAGCTACAATATACATACATCAACAGTGTAATGGCATAAAGAGACACCATTAAACTGGAAAAGATGGGACAGCAGCTCATGCGTCACTAAGGTAGGAGCACATAGGAAAACTACACGCTGAATGACGAGGCAACCAAGAATGATAGCAGAAAGAGAAGAAAAATACTTACCATACTTGTGACCTAAATGCAAACAAACATGGTTTCATTGTAAATGGTTATTTCATTTATTTTGACTCATTCAACATATACATTTTAGCTGTTAAACTCAGAGTCAATAAAAAACGTTATATTCCATACAAAGTACAACACAGATGTGTCATGAAAAAAAAAAAAAAAGGATTATGAATGTTTTTTTCTTTCAAATGATCTTTGGTCCCTGAGGATGTCTTGCTCTCTATAATTTGATACACTCTGATCAAAAGTCTTTACTACAGAATAGAAACATAATGACTGTTATTTCACTGCCACAGACAAGACCAGGAACAGCAGGTTTTCATTGATACCCCTTTCAATGAATGGCACACTCCTGCTTCTCTTTGCCAACAAACTCTCATTTGCTTTAAGTGACAAAAGACAGGGATTCTGTCTGTTTTTCTTCAGAAAGCTGCCTTTTCCCCTTAAAAAAAACCCAAAACAACCCACATTCATGTGTCTGCCTGTTTGACTCTTTCAGTTTCTCACAAACACAAACTCTGCCACACAGATTAATGAGGGGGTCATTAATTTGTGTTGAATACTGGGAGTGGGGCAAAGTGTGAAAGTCAAAATGTATAGTCGACTCTCCAGAGGACAATATCACAGGGATGGAGAATCCTTTACTTGGTAGAGAAAGATTACATCAGAAAATACCTTAAATAACAGGTCAGTTAATATTCAGGATAACTCCTTTCACAATCTTTCATTTTAATCTGCAAATCTGAAAAGGTTTCTACTGTGAATTGAACATTTCCTTATTGCTGAAATAAATGGCAAGAATACTCTGAAATGACGACATCTGAACTGGGAGGAAGAAAAGCGACTGACAGTTCCGACTTGGTGAGACTCTGGAGTTATCAACGGATTGAAGGAAAGCAAAGAGGGCATTTCAGAGGACAGCCAGCCGCCATCCCACCGACATCCTTGAACCTTCTGCTCTCAGCCAATCACACCAACAGCCAATGCCAACATGCTTCCTCACATCTGTACTCTTTGGATAACTTAATAATTAAATATGTTCGTTATTTAAAATCTGCTTAACATCTTATGTTAGCATGCTGATGCTAGCACACAGCTTAATGCACTACTGTACAACTGCTTCAGAGCACTGCTAGCACGACTATAGATTCTGTATAATGTATTTTATATCTTGGCCATGAGAAAATACACACACAAAAAACACAACTAATAAAAAGTCATTTAAAAGATACTTTTTCATTTTTCTGTCTGTTATGTGTTATTAGCCAATATACAGTATGGTTCTTAGATTTAATCCAAGTCCTTGGTATTTGTCAGTATGTTGTTAAAATAGCAAACAAACATGAACTTACATAACATTTGCTGTTTGTTTAATAAGAATCCAATTTTTAATGGAAATTAAGAAAATGTTTTGACTTTATTTATACTAAGTCGTGAATTTGCCGGTAATGAAAAAGTAAACAAAAGGAGATGAAACCAAGTAGACAGGACAGTGACAACATGTCAGAGGATAGGTGAGAGAAGGTCTGAGAAGATTGGGGGAGTGTACAGAGTAGACTACAGTCAACAGAGGAATGTTTTGGGTTAGGGTGAATCAGAGCAACAGGCATTCACTCTGTTACCCCGGGAAACAGTCAGTTAGGACACACAGCAACCAACAAGCCCAAAAGCAGAAAAGCGCATACCTTTAGCTTGGAATGAAACTCACGAGATTTCCTTCTGGCAAGAACCTGTATGTGACTAGACACCTGCGGGGGAAGGGAGGGGAGGAAAACAAAGGAAGAGCCTGTAACCATGGCAATGAAAAGCCCCCTGCAACTGGGCAAAGCCAGACGTACCTTAATGGCAGCTTGGATTTCTCGAACTTTCTTTCTTGCTAAGACCTGTATGTGACTAGACACCTCGATTAAAAAAAAAGAGAAAATGGAAAATAAAAAAACAAGTAGAAGCAAAAAATGCACAAATTAATACATTTCTTTGTTTACAAAAAAAACCCACTTGAATGTGATAAGGAGCACAGCAAAAGCATCTCCAAACCACACATCAGATTAACAGCCAATAATGCGTTATGTTGTGTGTTGTCGTCACTTAAGTGAACTGATTAAGGAGGATGCAGGCCCCTTTAGCTCCCATTAAGAGAACCCAGATGTGATCCGCTGTGTGCTGAATGACAATCGACTGGTCTAGTGATCTTCAGGGAGCAAGGCGAGGCATTTCACCGGCCAAGTTTACACCTGACGTTCAAACTGTTTGAAAGGGTTCAACAATTCTCACATGAAACATGCAGCAGATTTAAACAGAAGTAATGGCTGTTGATGACAGGCTTAGGGTCTATGGGTTTGTGAAAAAAAAAAAAAACAACGATGATGTATGAGAGAGATGTAGGGCTTCCTCTGCAGGAAAAAATGTATCTTTGTAAAAATATTTTCTTTAAACATGTCAAAAAAGAGAAATGCTCATATAAATGGGCAGACAGGCAGATTTAAAAGCAGCCTGAGGAATAAGCACATGTTGCCCGGTGTAACAAAGCTTTCATTCTGATTCTGTATTTTAAGGAGAAGAGAGTGAGAGAGAGAGAAACCACACAGCCTCTCTGGTCCTGACTGATCAATTCACACACAGAGATCGAATGTTTCTGTGTAGACACTGGCTTGTTAAACCACGGTCATTCAAGTCATGATGAGGAGGAGCATCGGCCAGTGGATAACTGAAGTACCATCAGAGTTATTCATTTAATAACCAGTATCCTTTCATTCATCTAAGTACTATAAATCCTACGAGAGGAACACAACAGAAAGATCTAAATATGTTTGATTTATTACATTTAAATGACTTATTACAGCACAGACTAGTGGTGTAGTCAAGACCACACTAATCGAGACCAAGACATGCCCGAGACCAGAGTGCTCCTAGACCATTTAGGGGTTGAGACAAAGTCAAGACCAAGATCAAGGCAGGGCGAGACCGAGACAAGACCAAGACCATAATGTTCAATGAAAAATCATCACAAATTAAAAGAGCTCTGTTTTTTTGATTTAAATAAATGTGACACACATTTCAGTTTTCAAAGCACCACAAAGCAAAAAAAAAAAACTAAAATCTGAACAAGTTGGTTCATTTAATTTCTCGTCAAAGATGTCATTTCACTTTTTAAAAGCCACATTCACCTGACAACGCTTTTTATATCTTGATGTTTATCTGGTTTTGCCAGGTGAAAGTGGATTATAACAAGGGTAAAGAGATATTTTTGACTCAATATGAGGTGAATAGGCTCGCTAAGATTTGAGTTTTTGCAGGTGCCTCTCCTCCTGTCGTCTCCATCCACTCCCACTCGTGTGCAGGTGGCGTATCACTCACTTAGACCGTGACACAGAGAAGGTTGCAGCTGTAGAAACGTAACTACAAATGAACTGAAGTTATTTGTTGTTTTAAAAAGGGGCCCTTTTCTAATAATACATTACAGTTTGATTCTGAAATCTGATCCCAGCTCTGTGGTGAGAGTTATGTTCTGTAGAAAACAGGATGCAGTCTTCAACACTGACTACAGCAGATGTTCTCTTTTCAGATCAGAGAAGATAGCTATCTAAAGAGGCCTTCACCTTTTACTCAGGCTAAGAACATGTGAGGGGAGAATACTGGCACCATTAAATTTAAGAGGCAAAAAATGCTTTTATAGTTACTGTAAATAGCTCCCTCATTGTACTTAATGAAGACTATATGTTCCAAGTACGACAGAAGACACATCAAAGATAAGCATTGTGTTTTTCTGTATTGCTTTGTTTATCTCTTGCACAAACAAATACAACAATCTGCACACATACACATGCGAATGCCATTGAACACCCATGCAGCTGAGACATCTCATCAGTGCTGTAGTACTCGAGTCCAGGACTCAGACTTGATGCAACTTGAGCCCTAATTTTTCAGGACGTGTGACTTGCGCACTACAACTCGAATTCGAGCATTTACTGCATCTGTATTCAGAAGAAATAGAGGAGGACTCCGATTTATCTACTGTCTAACTGTGTTTAGGTTTTTTTAAGGCCCTATGTATTTATTCAGTTTCAAGAAAGGCTGACACGTGTGTTCACCTGCACATACTTCACTTGCCGTCTTGTTTACAGCTGCTGTAAACAGCTTCTTTCGTCTTTTAAAGTAAATAGCTGAAGGAGACATTCATACAAATAAGTACGACACAATAAAGGGATCCCTGAAACTTGAACCGCTCAACATACTTTACAATAATAAAATTATAATTTGGCTCTGCGTTTTAGTAATGTCACTTCCTCTAATACTGAGGTATGGATTAAACATAAAGACTCAAAGATAATTGAGCGTTAAAGCTCGGAATAGGAGCATTAAATATCATCAAATTAACACGTTCATGTGATTAAGTGAAACACTGGAGTCCATCTTGGAACTTGTCTCATTCTCAAACTTGAGTTCTTGGACTCGGTTAATGGTGACTCAACATGGACTTGAGCACTGGGGACTCGAGACTCAACTTGGACTTGAGGTTTGGTGACTTGACTACAACACTGTCTCTGGTCTTACTGCTTACGAGTCCTCGTCTTCCCAGTCCGCAGTTTGATGTATCTGGCTATCAGCTCATTTCGACCTGCCGAAAAACAGGAAAAGGAGAAATCAGTGAAAAATGTCAACAACAAAAAACATTAAGAGATGAATTCAGAATAAGGAGGAGTGGAAATTTTGCAAGAAATATTGTCAGTTGAAGAACTAAATCATGACTTCAGGTTTGTAGCTGTAGTAAAAAAGTGTCTTTGATTCTTCTTGTTTCTTCGAGTCATGGCTTATTCTGTTCACTACGGTTGTTAGTGGTTGTATTGTGTGCTCAAATTAGAATATTTTCTAATATTTTCTAATTGGACCAAAATGTTCTACTAATGAATCAATCAACAAAGACGGCGACACAATGTTAAGAAAATGACTTTTCTTTGTAACCCGTCACAAACTGTTCTGGACCCTTCTGTCACTGTATCTAACATTTTATAGCACGTCTATATATGCAGTTTAGCCTTTCTCTAAAGCATGAATGAGTGCAAAAAGAATACATTAATCAATAGTTAACAACTGCTGTTAATTCCCGAGAAAGGTAAATGAATAGTTTTTGTTAAAAAAAATATGAAGTGGATTTGATGTTGATTTATTTCAGTCCACAAATATCCGACAATATAACAGTGACACCGAATATTTTCAGTAAACAACGGTTGTTTTTGCACTTTTCTTTTTTTCATGATGTATTTGTTCAAAAACCTTTCCAGGAAGTAGTCATGGAATAACACAGAAAGCTCTAAATTATAAGCTCTATAATCATATTTCAAGTGCATGCAAATCAGTTATCAGTTATGTGTATATCTCTTAAACAAACCAGATCCAGTCTGCCTGTGAAAACACCATGTCACATTAGCATGAAAAAAAAAACAACCTCACAGCAGCACAGGCTTTCAAATTAATCTAATTCAATCTCATTCTCTTCAAAGCACAACGCTTTGAAAGGAAACAGACCTAGCTGTTCATACTATTACAGAAGATAATGGCAACTGAATATATTGGGCTTAAAACAGTGCAGCTCTGACTAAATTATAATTAAAGCATGGCTTTATACAGATTTCCAATTAACAACGGCTCCAAACATTCTTCTGCCCTCGGCTCTGCTCTATTTGCTGTAGCAATGCACATGACCCCTGCTTAGCCCTTTCATATGGTAATAACATGCCGCCAACCAAAACTATTACACAAATTATAGGTAAGGAGGCACTCTAATTATGTGTCCAGCTGTAGCCGACCAATGCCATGGATCTGCTCAACTCCTCCATGAAATGCACCAAACCTTCATCACCATGACACATTTTTCTACATTCACATCATTATCAATTAAGGGCCTCACTTTTGTAATGACACAATAGGACTGCAGCGTACCACACGTGTGCTAATAAGCCGTATCGTAGGTGATCAGAAGAAAATGCATTTTCTATGAATGGGACCTAAAACAAGAGTACATCTCAGACGCATGAAAGCAGAGGATATAAGACACGTGTTGAATAAATCGAGAGACTACCAGAGAACGCTGATAGTGGTTTGGTTATCTGATGTTGCTTGTATTTGAAAATATACAGGATAGATAGTGCAAAGAATCATCTACTCACGGCTTGTGTGTGCTGCTCAACTGTGATTAATTAAAGAACGTGTTGGTCAGAGTATAGCAAATAAAATCACTATCAACAACATGAATTCTCTCCATACAGAAACAAAAACAATAACAATTAATCACTGTTCACTTGTTGGGGCCATAAAAAATAGCAAATATTGAAAATATTAACCTCTCAGATTACGGACTCTCTCCAATTTCTTGTTTTTGTGTTTCCATATAAAAAATGCTGTTTTAATAAGAATTTATTATAAAAATGATAATCTTAAGAAATTATCTAAACTGGCTTGAGAAAAGAAAAAAACCTGAGGCTGCTTTAATAAAGTTGAGTTATGAGTAATTAAGTTGTGAAATTAGGATCCGTGTCCACTCACAGCTTGTTCAGCGCCCACCACCTCAGTTTACTCTTGCCTTTATACGATAGGACAGCAAAAGAGAGACATGAAATGTTGGGAAGTGAGAGTGGGGGATAAAACACAGCAAAGTGCAGAGGTCGAATTTGAACCCAATACATTGGGCGCACGCTCTAACCCACAACACCACGACCTCAATTTCCAAACACTCCATACCTGTGCTTAATGTTGTTAGATTACCAAAGTTGGCTTTCCGCACTTCTGCCTCCCTGTGACTGTTACGTAATAAATTGCTCTATATGTGTAAGGGGGGGTACTTAAATAACAAAAAGATTGACAGCTGTGTTCTTATCTCCTTGTGTTTGTTAAATTGAAAGCACATGCATGTTGTCCCCAATTAGCATAGGTAAATGCCCATAAAAGGGCATGAGTGCAGGGCCCTGCAGACACAGAGACACACGCTGGTAGCAAATAATAAGGTTATAGAGATGCATATCGGAGCGCCGAAGATTGCACCGGCGGAGAACCGGACTCCTTACAATGAAGAAACTTTAGCAGCTCTGAAGTGGAGGTACTACTGCAGGACGTCAGCAGCAAACAGGCAGTTTTATTGAGTAATGGTTACGCAGGAACACACAAAAAAGAGGCATGTGATGCAATTAACATTATTAATGTATGCCTATAGGAATTGAAGTGTCATTTGTATTTTATTGATTTTAAGACTACTGGGAACTGTATGATCATAAAAATATCTATCAAATATTTTATTAATTGTAAAAAAAACATAATCTAACCCTATCATTTTATAAAACAGTAGAATTAAATGAAATGCATTAACCAGTCATTTTGCCCAAGCCAGTCAGCACTCAAAGTCAAAGTTTAGTTAAGTATTTATAAGTCTAATACAATTAAAGTTCAAAAGTTAGATCCTAGCCTTTATCAAAGTTCTGAAAGTGAAAACAAACACAGACAATCTTTGATACCTGCAGCACCTAGCTTTGTGCCACACCTACACTCTTTGTTGTGCCTCTAAAAAGAATGGGGGCTGGGCTCTGTTGTTGAGCTGTAGTTTGTCAAAGGTTGACCCCGAAACTCTTTTCACACTGAACACGTGGGAGAGGCCGGCCTCAGTGAACTCAGTCACATGACCCTGCAGGACAAATAAACAATATCTGGAGATTTACAACTCCAGTCTACCTAAACACTGCACCTGCAGTGTAAACTTTACTGCATGAAGCGTGGACCTGCATCATTTTCAATTATTCACTCACTGTGGAAACATAACATGACAATACAGGCATTCATGCAAACTCCTGATTCCCAGATCAAAGCACACAACAGCCAGCTGAAAGCTTGCTTACTGCTGAATAATTCATTCTTTACACCAGGCTGTCCGGGATAGCCTGAATGCTTTTTTTCCCTGTGGTTTCCCTGCTAAACAACAACTGTTAACAAAACCCCTATGACATGTATAAGTTGAAGCATTTTACGAAGAATTATATTGAGCAGAGACTTCCTGTGAAGTGACACTTCAGTGTGAGCCACACTGCTAACATTTGAAACTGTTCTTACTGTATGTTTGTTTGTTTGCAGGCTGTTTGCTATTCAATAAACTGAACAAAGAAAACAAGTCTATTTTCTGCACTGAGGTAAAGCTCCAAACATCATACATAAATACTGAGCTCTGGAGAAAAGTCTTTGGTTATGATGAGCACAAATAAAAGCCTTGACATTTAGTAACTGTCTGTGTAAACTACTCGATTTGTATTTTTACAGTTAGAGACATGAGAGAGACAGTTATCGACTTAAATGATCTAAAGTAAATGATCAAACTTAAAAATACAACAATTAACATTTAAAAAATGAGAAAAACAATGTAATTATTAATATATATGTATAATATATAATTAATATAATATTTTCATTAACAAAAGCTATAGTACATTGTCAGTACTTTCATTAAAAAGAAATATTAAATCATAATATGTCACTTAAAATGTCTGAAATACCAATAGACCGTATATAAACATGGACACAGTCTCAGTTATGTCATCAGTTAGTTAATGAAGGGAAATTTTGAAGCTTGTCGATAGCTAACAACTGGCAGATAGCTGGAGCTGAGGCAGGTCTTTAAGCCTCCTGAACAACAACACCGCACCGTCAGGTCAGCCTTACATGGCATTATGAATAACTCTTAATCTTCATACAATCAAAACAGACAAGTTATCTAAAAAAATGACCACTCATATAGTGTGTGCTGATAAAGACATGAGCCTGGGGCGCTGGTGGCGCAGTGGTTAGTGCGCACGCCCCATGTATGGAGGCTGTCGTCTCAAGCGGGTGGCCTGGTTCACATCCCACCCGTGGCTTCTTTCCCGCATGTCTTTCCCCTCTCTCTCTCCCTGATTTCCAACTCTATCCACTGTCCTATCTCTCCATTAAAAAAAGGCCCAAAAATAAATCTTTAAAAAAAAAAAAGACATGAGCCAATCAGGCCAAATTCTTCATTTGAACCAGGCTGTAAACATGTTTATTTAAGTGTGTATGTAACTTCCAGGGCTTCTACAGCCAGCCTCAAGTGGACACTGAAGGAACTGCAGGTTTTTGCATTTCCACATTGGGTTATTTTTCAACACTGGAGCTTGGAAAGAACATATAAAAGGGCTTATTTGTCTATCTATGAGCACATGACAAACAGCCGAAATGACAAATCCTAAATTCGGTATTATAGTGGTCACTTCAACTTTTGCCTTGACAGAGTTTTCAACAAAACCCATTTCTGGTGTGTTGTTTTAGTTTTCTTGTTAAACTACACAGCATCAACTGAGTCCCAAGTCTGAATGCTGAAGCTTTGAGATGTAGCCAGGCCGGGAGAAGGCAGAGGAAATTAACTCTTTATGTGGTGTTCCTGTCACTCAAAGCAGTGGGAAAAGGATTAAATATTTATAGTGTGACCCCTGAGTAGATCTGTGCTGTTAAGCAGCTGGAGGAGTTCTCCACCTGGCCACAGTGAATTCTCCTCAGAATCTCAATGACTCTGGAGGATCTGGGACATATGAATGGCACTCCAGCAGCAGCCGCACAAAGACATGGTGG